GAATCACATGATCTGGTCCGCCGTCGAGCTCTCGCACGAACAACAATAACTCTGTGTCAGTTAGTACTATAATACCCTACTAATTCAATTTTAAACATTTTTAAATCAATTTAACTTAAATTCTTTGCGAAAGTTATAATCATTTTCATTTTAACTTTTTGCCCCTTATAATAGTCTATAAAAATTTTAATTCGTTTGCTGATATTTACATCCTTAAACTATCAGTTGCGATCCGTTCAGATTTATATCTTTATACTAGACAACATTCTTACTCATTGCGTTTGTTAGTTGAAAAGGAAAGCGCCATTGTGCTCACGGGTGGTAACCAATTTAAGCCTCCTCAGTAACTCCGTGAACTTGATAAAAAACAAAAATTTGGGTTGCTATGTTGCTGTTTCCAAGACCTGAGGTGTTCCTTCAGGCTTCAGAGCTCAAACAACAGTTGAAGGAGCTGAATGGCCTGAGGCAGTAGGGGAATTGTGTCTCCAGCTGCGCCGAACGGGCCAGTTTAACCCTAATTCATTCACAAGGTGAGTGATACCATGCACGTTGTACGCCTAGCCAGGCTATAATGGCCTAAATTTATAAGATGGCAGTTTTTTTTGTATTTAATTGGGGATCAATGGGGCCACTCTCTGTCTCTTTAGGTAAAGTTTTGATCCAAAAGCACCTCTCTTGCAGGCTCCTGAAGATTTAGACAAGTCATTATCAATGTGTGTCGTCTGTCGTTGTCATGACAGAACACAATTCCCTCCAATTAGCCAAAGCTTACCGCTAGTGATTGCTTCCTTGTAGAATACACGCTCTGAGAATGGCTATCGTTATCTTGTTATTGTAACCTATAGATTTTCATATAAATGCGAGTGCAAGTTTTAGGAATCCTTCTCAATGAATGGCAATATTTCATAGAAAGTTTTCCGCCTTTATAAGTATAACTAATAATAAAATTAAATCTTCAAAAACATTTCTAAATTTCTTCAACATTTGCATTCGACCTCAACTTCCTTTAGAAAGGGTTTGTATTTCTATTTATTTTTCGGTCGTTTGTTATCTTCATCAGCAGGGATATATATGACCCTCACTTTGCCTTGACCGCTGAAGAATTCTTTTAATTGTTGTTCCTTAGTTATATTCGGTGCTCATTGGCTTAGTAATTGCCATTTCGATGATGTTATTTTATTTGATTTAAGGTTATGTCGAATACGCAGAAAAATACACTTGCGGTCATAAAAGCGCACCACCACTTATTTCAATATAAGAATTAGAATTACAATATTAGGAAATTCTATTTTTTTGGCTACTTATCATAGTGAAATTAGTTATCCATAAAATTTTTCACGAAAATGGTTTTTTATAAGGAATATCCAATTAATAAAAAAAATGTCGAAATATACATTTCTGATATTCATGATGAATTAAAAGATGTGACAATGTGAAGTTAATTTAAAGCGACTAAATCATTTTCACCACTAACGGTAGAAATCTAGACTACCAAATAGGCTCTTCTATTCTATTGGAATTCATTAGGACCTCAATGATTTCCTTATAACGGGAACATACCAAACCCGTTATAAAATCTTTATCAAGTGACTTTTATTTGTTGGCTTCTGTTTAACAACTTCTAACAGACCATCATCTATAAGCAGTCGGCGTATGGTTCGACATTTGCACAACTTTTCAAATACACAACCAAAAGACGACTATAACTGAACTATTTAATTCTTTGTGGCTACCAGATCTAGTAAAATTTTTTATTAAATTACAGTTATTTAGCTGAAGGTAGTCTACAAAAGTGCTGGTGCGTTTTCATTAGAGTTGTTTTTGATTACTACTAAGTATATTGAATTGCTTATTATAGCTTATTATTCGTGATAAAACATTGATAAATAATAATTGAAAAGAAACCTTAAAATGGCTTCCAACAAGAATACGAGCTGAAACTTAGGAAGCTTTGAAGATTTTATGCGCCTTTATTAATTTTATACCGTAAAGAATATTAAAATTTTCATTAAAAATTTATACGAAACACGTGTTGTTGTTCAGTTATTGTCACGCGCAGTCGACAAAAGACTGGTACGAGTGTTTACGTAAATGAATGTAGATAAATGCGAGTAATATTAACTATGGCAACACGCTGAGTGTCGTAAGAGATTCAAGCTTTTCATGACAAGAAGCAAGAGATATATATATATATAAGAGAATAGATAAAGCAGAAAATAATAAAATAAATATATAAAAGAATTATTCAATAAAGTCGGTTAATTTTTTTGTATCGAAAGCGCCCGAAAAGAACTTAAGTCGGATGAAGCTTAATTAAGTAGGAAATAAATAAAATGAAAGACGGCCTCCCGGTCGAAAGTAGACAGTGGGACCTTTAAGCGTTCGACGATAGTATTGGCAATAAGGCTTTGCGGTTGACACAACCTTCCGATTGGCGGCTTTCATGTTAATGAGGCCCAAATTTGTGGGGTCCTTCTCTCCTTCGCCATTTCATTGCTTTTTATACGCTTTCCTTACCGACTTGTGGGTTAAATAAAAACGTTTATCGGCAATTTTCTCGCTGATTGTGTGATACATACCTACATTCATAAAAATTTATCGTAATTGAAGGAAATTGTGCGCGAAGCCGCGTTTCATTTGCGGTAAAATGATTATTGCAGGTAGCCATATTTAAGCTTTTTGTTTTGCCAGAGTGAATTTTTTGTTGATATTCTCTTTTCGCTACTTTTCATTATCGATTTCGTTTGATATAATCGGTTCGTTATATGTCAATATTTCATCATTTCACTTTCTTTCTCATTACAGGGCATGCGTATGTCCGGCGAAAGCACCGAAATACTACATCTGACTCAATTGGCGCGCGAGAGTGCTGGAGCCTACGCTTGTGGCGCAGCCAATACGGAGGGAGAGACGCGTAGCTCCAGCTTGACGCTGAAAGTGCAATGTGAGTTATTCATGCAGATATATTTAAAAATATATATTTTTATTATCTTATTATAGTTCAGTATTTAAAATAGCCTGTTTCTGCAGTAACAGCTTTTTAAATATTTATTTTGGAATATGGAGATAATGTTTTATATACATTAGGGTGGTTCTTAAAATATAAAACGATCGATACTTTTATAGTTCACATCTTTAATAAGTAATACCGCTCTTATTATATAAGATTGTCAAATATCTCCCTTCCGCTTTTTTGCTCTTCATTCAATGCTTTATAAAAAGTGTTACAGTGATCGGATTTAGTTAAAATATGCGCCGTTTTGTTCGATGATCTGTTTCCATCTAGACGGGAACTTCATAATACCTTCCTCGTAGAAGCCCCTCCTTATTTGCGAAAGAATTCGGACAGCCACTTTCACAAGCCTCTTTTGAGTTCAACTCACACCACCAAGGGCATTCGCCATGGACAGAAAAGGTGGTAACACTTGGCGCTACGTCCGGGCTATATGGTGGATGCGATAGAACCTCCATCCGAGCTCCGTAGCTTCTGACGAGTCATCAACGAAGTGTGTGGTCTGGCGTTGTCCTGGTGGAACACTACACCCTTCTTGTTGGCCAATTCTGGTCGATCGCCTGCTTCAAGCGGTCCAGTTGTTCACATAGATGGTTGAATTAAGCGTCTGGCCATATGGGACCAGCTCATAGTGGATGATTCCTTCAATCCCACCAAACACAGCAAAACCTTCCTGGCCTCAATCCGGCTTGGCCACTATTTGGGACGATTCACGTCTTCGACCACGACCGTTTTCGCTTGTATTGTCGTATGTGATCCATTTTCGTCGCCAGTCACCATCCGCTTCAAGAATGGGACGATTTCGTTCCGTTTCAGCAGCATATCGCAGGCGTTGATTCGGTCCAGAAGGTTTTTGCGTCAAATTATGCGGCACCCAAACATCAAACTTTTTGTATCCAGCCTTCTGCAGATGTTCAAAATGGTTTGGTGACTAACTCCCATCTCCTGGCGATGTCACGAGATGCCATATGCCGGTCTAACTTGATGTATTCCATGATTTGATCGGTATTTGTCGTCACAGGTCTTCCGCCGGCTGGCTTATCCATGGTGTCGTTTTCACCGGCTCTGAATCGTCGAAACCATTCCTCCGCGGTTCGAAGTGATAGAGTACCATCCCCCAAAACACCATTAATCTCACGGAACGTTTCTCTAGCGGATTTGCCTTTAACGTAGGAAAACTTTAAAATAGCGCGAATTTCGGCGTTAGTGAACTCCATGTGTACACGTCTATAACTGTTGAACGCAATATCCAAACTAATCATGCATAGCGTTGTTTTGTAGGTTATGTCAAGACCTTTCAAATTATGTATAGTGTTGCCAGATACGAGCTCTGTAGCGCTTTGTACATACCCGCGAAATTCAAAAGACAAAAAGCGGAAGGGAGATATTTGACAACATTATATATTTTTGGAGACTGTGGAGTGTGAATCAGCAGAGCTAAATTTTTGATAAGTTTATAAAAATATTTAGGGTGGTTCTAAAAATAATAAAAGTATGATTTTTTATACCTTTCTTCATTAGTACTGCGTTAATTTGTTATTTTTAGGTTTTGTTAAAATGTGAAACACAAGAGCTAAATTTTGGTTAAGCCAGTCAGAATACTTATGGTGCTTCTAACAGTTAAATATTGTTTTTTTTACAGTCTGCCACTTCTTGTCATTAGCAACATTTGGGGTGGTTCCTTAAAAGTAAAAAAGACATTTTAAGAATATCTCATATCTTGTTGTTAAGTAGTACTACACTTGCTTGATATTTTTAGTAATTGTTAGAATCTATAACACATGGGTTAAGGTTTGAAAAAACATATCGGAACATTTTGGGTGGTGCTAAAAAAATATAACAAATTTTTTTTTGAGAATTCTTGACCATTCACTGTAATTGTCATTGATACAGCGCCTTTTCAATATTATTCTAAGCTATTGAAGTGGTAACACAAAAGTTTAAGTGCAGAAAAGAATATTAGAACATTTAGAGTGTTTCTTAAAAACTATGTGGGTGTTTTTTTACGGTCTGCCATTTGGCATTTTTATATTCATAAAAACCAAATATATTTATTATTGTTGGGTAATACAAGGGTTAACGTTCAGATAAACTACTTAAAATCAAGAAAAAATATTTTGTTTTTTCAGCCAGTTCATTACTTTTGTATTTTAAAACATATAATAACTTTGGTTTCTGAGAGAAGTATTTTGCCGTAGAGTATAAGATTTAATCCACACCTATACGAAAAACTTTAAACGCCTCAAGCTGTTAATTAAAAGTATAGATGAAGTTTCCTTCAATATATTCAGTAACTTAAACTGTTTTCAAAGTTATTCGTTCAAATTTAACCAACACCGAAATATATACGTATATGTACACATACGAGTACTGGAGATATTTCAAATTTACTTAAGCAATTGAATTGATTTTATTCACAATTTCCGATAAAAGTAAACGACAAAGCAAACAAAAAACTCAAATCCCTTACAAATTTCGCCGTAGAGTCGTCTTCGAAGCGTATCAATTTCAGATTAGGCCGCAAATCCATTCAAGCCTCCCAATACATACGCATTTCGTTTGCTTGCCTTTCAGCGATGCTTAACCTCCTTGTCGCTCCACCTACCCGACCGAGCTTCGCTTTAGCCGTCACACTTTATGTTAAGCCGCAATGAAATGCGAAGTTCTCCGATCCACTTTGAAATTTATGCAAAAGTTATAAAAACAAACTTCGCATACACCGAGCAGTGTACATTGGCTGCGCTGAAGATGCTTAAGCAAGCAGAAGCAATGTTTCGTTAGGAACAAAAGATGTGGTAGCAAGGCAGTGGCAGTGGTAGCGCTAGTGAATCTCAGTTTATCAATTCAAATGAAAATTTCACGTTTTGACAGAAACATTGATATGCAGATTTGTTGTGCCACAATTCGCAGGGCATAAACGATACCCAGCTGTCACAACCTTACAGATTTACTGCAGAGGTCACATAAGTTAAAAATATAGGCTCACAAGATAAATTATTGGGTTGATGTGTTTCTATGTTTTATTATAGTTGCTGCTAGAGCAAAGTCAATATAAAGCGCTATTCCTGATTTCTTTTATACTTTTTTAATAACCAAAACTCTTCTTAGAATCTGCTTGAATAGAAGTGTGATTTCGGAGGATACAATTTTTTATAACTAATATATTACAGGAGAGATCGGTAACTCTACAGTATCCACTGTCGATTGACCATATGCCCCGGTATTTATAATATAAAGCCTATCTTTCTTTCTATAGAGGGTAGCATAACTACTCTCTTGAGTATAGTGTCTCCTTATGTTTACGCAAGGTGAAAAAAGGGTTGAAGAAGGGTTATCGATTTTAAATCAGGATTCGGCTGGTTAAAATTTCACCCTAGTGCATATGTTGCTCAAAGATGCTAGCTTTCCAGATACAAGCAAGTGGTCGACGTGAAATTCTGATTTAGAAAGAGATAGATTTTAATTATTTATTACATGGTATTTCGAAGCCTATAAACGCGAATTAGGAAGAGATCATAAAAGATTTTTCATGGAAATTTTTTTTGAAACTAATAATATACTCACAGACTCTTTTTGGAATTTTTTAGGCTTTCCTTTAAAACTTCAAATCGACCGAAACTCATGCGTGAAACCTGGCTCACATAAAAGAATGAAAACTTGAATATTTTCCTTAAATTTTCAAAAACCATAAATAATAATAGAGTGTTTCCAAATTTTGCTTTGTTACTGTACATACATACACGAGCACAGACACATACCATGGTATAGCATATGAACTTGCTTGTATGTGGATAACTGGGATTTGGGCCGCTGACAACATTTGATCTCCCTATGCGAGCGTACTTTCGACTCGATTTGACTGTCGACAGCTTTATTCCCGCATCATTGTACTACAACAGCAACAACAACAATAATATAATATATACTTACGTACCAGCATATTTGCATTGAATTGCGTCTATTTGGCATATGGTGTATTGGGCTTTAATGCGTTTCGTTGTCTCCCCATTGTTTTTACAGCAAATCCTCTTGTGATCACGCCTGTGGAGTGCGTTAAATTATTCGCAATGTTTCCATAAATATTGACTGGGGATACCCATAAGCGCGGCATAAGCACATATTACTGATGCATGTGTATGTATTTTATGTGAAGTCATATGTGTGAGGGTTTAAAGCCGTCATTGGGCGTGAGTATCTGTGGGACTTTTACAAATCCTCGTATTTGACAATTGTCTAGAGAACTTACCAGCGACTTCAATGTCAAAAAAAAAAACGCGGTAAATGGAAATCATAAAAATTAATGGAAAACATAAATATGTTTATTGTTAGAAAAAATATTAGACGTCATAATATATCTTCATGAATTATCTTCTGCAAAATCTGCTATTCGGTTAGCTTACAGTCAACATATCAACATTCTGTTCAACATTAACCTGCCAACTCTTTAACCATGCCTCTGGACCTCATTTATAATTTAAGTCGAGGATGAGGCTCCCGCCACTTCTTCTGTATGATATGACGCTCTTGGAAAGTTGATGAAACTGCTAAATAAACATAGTTATAGTTAAAGATGACCCATTTGTACAAGTTTGGAAATTATAGTAGCGAATCAGCGCTCCCTGTTTCCAAAAAGACGGAATAGGTATTTTTTTTTTTTGAAATGGAACAGATTTAAATTAGCCCTTAAAATATTTGTAAAAAAATAATAGACAATTTTGGTAAAAATATGTAAATAGTATTCAAGAAGCTGAAATACACCCACGGGTATCATTAAATCCACCTTTCAAACAATATTAGAAGCATATACATAGGTACACATATTTGCATAGACATTTACTTTAACAAGAGTCAATAATAATCACATGTAAAATAACTCATACAAAAAGTCGATTTAACTATAAATAACACAATTTTTCGGCTTTAGGATAAATTTATATTAATTTGGATTCTTACAAATTTATGCACATTGTCCATTATACCATGAAACACCCAACTGCGCACACTATTGTATATATAGCTGATAAATGAATCATATACAAAGCAGCGATTTACATTTAGCCCACATCAATTCTAATCCATCGCAGAAAAGTTGAAAGGTTCGGCAAATGTTTGTCAAGTCCCCAGCCTCTCATAAAAATACAAATGAGCGAAAAAAACATACACAAACAAATCCGCAGTCGAACGAAATTGAAAAATAGATATTATTTGCAAAACAAATGACACATATAAATAAACTGAAACTAAAGTAACTATACTGAGGCCACATAAGCCACCCCTCTACATCGACCGCCGCTGTCAGTGGTGCTCAGGTTCCCAGCAGAGCGCTCAATGCCGCCACCACTGCCGACGCATAGGCGATTAACATATGCAAAAGCCACTGTCTTCACTGCCTTCAGTTCAATGGCAGCACATTTGAATTCGAATTTGAATTTGAATAGATGATGAGTGAATAGCGGATAGTGGATTCCAACTGCAGGCGTATCATCATCATAAAACTTAGGCCGCTATAGTGGCGCGCTGCCATACGTTCGTACGAGTAATTTCAGTGCGCCGCCACAACGAGCCTTAGCTCCGTCGCAGCCTCGTCCTCGTCCTCGCCTAAACGGCGCGCTGCGTAAGGCAAGAATGGCATGAATAATTAATGAAAACTTAAACAAGGCACAGCATCAGAAATAATAAAAATGATGCGTTAGTCAAATGGAAAACAAGCAAAAAATAAAATAAAAATCACAACAACGCAAGAAACCGCAAAACAAAAGTGTAGCCTTGACAACGGGCGGTGGAAATACAATTGGTACACATATAGGATTTTGTGACACACGCTAAAAAATGCTGTTGAATTGTGGCAAAGAAGCAGAAACGAAACAAAGATGCGGCGAAACAAAAAAAGAAGTAAACAACAGGAACAACGTCTTATTCGTCGGGTATTGTTAATATCCGCCCACTGACACTTATGTGTAATGTCATTGATAATTTTATGCTTTATTTCTACCCACCATTTTTCTCGGTTCTTATTTGCTACTATTTTAAGCTTTGTTTTCAGTTTACATATCTTACCCAGAAAGCGGAACTATGTTCATATGCTCCAGTAGACACGTGCTCCTCAGAATATCATCTTAAATATATTTTACTTCAAGACTATTAACTGCAACTGGCACGTAGTTAGAGTTACTTATTAAAAGACCTCTTTACTTTGCATAAGCCTAATAAATATGTAAAAACGTTGTCTATATTTGGGGCTGATTTAGGCAAAAGCATACTGTACCTTTTTTTCTGTAACTATTTTCTTATCTTTCAGTTATAGATCTTTTTATAAAAATATGCTGACGGCCAACAATTTACTACTTAGGGCTCTTGCGTGTAACTAATATATACATATCACCTTAGCAATTTATTTTTAGATCTCTTGTTCCCATATTTATGCATTTTAAAGTAAAATATTTTTCACAAACCAGAAATTGTGCTATTATAATGTAAAACTTTCATCTTAGTAACATAAAAACGTATGAGATGATATCAGATGCAAGATTTTTCATTAAAAAGCGAAAAACAAAAAACGTAGCCTACCTTTGGGCGCGCTTTAGCTAAGACAAAGACCTCGTATGCTGAAATTAATAAAAAATGAACAAATTAAATTTTTTTAAACTAAAACATTCTAATTTCGAATACATAATCATGCTTCTTAATGAGTCAATATAGCCTTTTAAAATGTTGACCTAGAAATTATTTCAATGTAACTAAGATCACACTTAACTCGTTTTACCCGGATATGAACCAGTCATTACAATGTTTATTACACACACAACGCGAATATAACGTATTTTCACATATTTAACGCTCACAGCCATTTGAGACTTCGATCAATCAATATCCTTAACTGGGTTGTGACATTGTCAAAGCGCTCGTTAAGTTATAAATACTGACAGCAAAACATGTAAATTTATCTTTGAAACTCAGCGCCGAAAAATCAGAATTTTGATATTTTTGGCTCACCTACTCACTTACACATACAATGCCAACTCAAATGTGTTCTGCCAGAACATATCGAAGAGATTTATTTCACCCTAACCCTCATAGATTTATTATCTTAAATAGTCATATAAATAATAAATACATTTCAATAAAAGATTACGATTGAATCTGAGTATGCGTGCATGTGTGCACTATATATTGCTTCGGCTCTTTATAACGGTACACTATGTCCTCTTTAAAAACTTGAAAAGGGTTCACAGATACTCAGAAATGCATTTACCCTGCGGCTAAGTGCTAGTAAATGACTTCCGCAATGAGATGCAGGCGGCTGTTTGTTGCATGCATTTCATGTATATACATATGTGTGTATATTCTATATATATATATATATATATATATATATACTTTCATATCAACTTAAAAGTGGAGGCTTTGGAAATTGCTCCAATTCGAGCAGGTCTAAACTACATGCCAGTTGCACTACTGATATCCCCTCTACAAAAATATGTATATACGTATATGAAATATACATATATACAACATATAAAGGTACATATATGTACGTATAATTTGTACATAATAACGCTACCGTTATAAAATATATTTATCTTCATGCGCTTATAACTACAAGTAGGAAATATTTAACAGTTAAGTGCACACATTTGCTTGAGTGTATGCGTTTAACTGTTTGCATGGGCGTAGGGAGGGAAATTTTCATGAAATAATAAATTATTGTTAATTTTATGACTGTATACAAAAATGTTATAGTATTACCAAAAAAACAATTATATAAATATAATTTGGTCAAAATCATAAAAATAAACATGGTTTAAGAAAAATGTAACAAATAATATTGAATAGAAGGAAATCTTACAATACTTCAATTTCGTATATATAATATTTTGGTCCGAGTATGGCGTCAATTTCGAGATTTGGTAATGTTATTAATGTTTATCTTTATTGAAGTGCGCGAAGTGCCTTTTGCAGAAACTTATACCACAATATACTAAACATTATCAACTTTTTAATTTTCGTTAAGAGAAAAAACAAGCATCTCCAAACAGCTGTCTTTGACGTTGGAAAATGTTTTCTAGAAGACTGCTACTCTAGACAAAAAACTTCCAATACAAATTGTATTAATAAAATTTAATGAAAAGCTAATTCGCATACCGACAAATAGTTAAGAAATATTGAGATAGACCAAGGTCGATATGCTTTGAAACAAAATAATCTTAATAGTAGTATGAAACTTATGGAGAAAGAAAGACAGGCGAACTGAGCCCGGGGAGTGTAAATTCGCGAGGATTGTAATTTGATCATAAAAGTTTCGTGGTTTCCTTTTCGAATTTAGTATCTTCATTATTCAGAGATTCGTTTTTAACTACAACTGAAGAATTTAAATAAATGTAAACAATAAAGTACAGTAAAATGCATGAAAAAAAGCTTTTGGTAGCTTTAAAAGCATAAAATATGTTTCAAATATTTATTAAGTGTTTTAAAAGAAAAAAGTGAATCGACTCAGGCCTGGGTTTGATCCGGTGATCTATTAGGTACTACCGCCATTTCCTAATGAGAAGAAACTTATATTCAATAAGTTTTCCATTAGTAATCTTTAAACAACCAGCATTTAAAATGTGTTTTTCGTAAACTTTACAGGTTAGGGGGTATTAGAAACCCCGCAGATAACCAAGCACGTAGATTTTGTAAATAAATATTTACATATATTTGTTTGTTGGGCAACAGTTAGCTTTGAATATGTAGATTAGGGTGATTCACAAAATCTGGCAATAAATACGTGGGATAAGTAAAATGATTAAGACACGGTTTAAAATAAAAATAGGCGTCCACCCAAAAAAAAAACCCAAAAATACCTTGCAAATAACTGCCCTAATGTAGGTGTACACCAAAAAATATACTTTAAATGCAGAAAATATATGGAAATATCTTCATGCGAAAGTAAATATGCCTCAGCTTGGCTCTTTGCTTGTAAATGCACACACTCACGCGTTTACTTACATATACATATAAATATATATGTGTGCATGCGTGTGTAAGGAAAACGACCACAACACCAAACTGAACCATGTTAATTACTCGCCTTGAGGCACTCGAAGAAAACCAAACACAGCTTGATTGCATATACACCTAAATGCGTGTATACACCAATGAGTATAGTGCCATATTATATTTTATATGTATATATGTGTGTGTGCGTGTGTATGCGTATAAGTTGCCAGCGACCGCAAGTCGACAATCGCAATGTCAGTCGTATAACTTCTTCGAATGCTTGGCGCCACAAGCAACGGTTTAGAGCCCATTATCGTGGCGTTTTGTTGTTGTCGCTTTGTTTTTGTTTTATGTTCATTTTCCTATTTCTTTTTTGAAGTGCACGAAAAACCAAAGACATTTACATAAATCGTTTTCCTCTTCAATTGCAGACTCGCCCAGATGTCGACCGGGCACCGAGCAAACGTCAATCGGAGCGCTGAATATGCACTCAGTGCAGGTAAAATGCGAAGTGGATGCGGATCCGCCAGACTCGGTGAAATTCAGTTGGACTTACAACAACACAAGAAATGTGTCGCCGGTTAGTATGACGTTGATTTCATTTCAGCTATTTATATGTGTGTGTGTGCCACATAAAATAGATATGCTTCACTAAAAGGATAAATTTTGTTTCCAATCAATAATTGAAATTTATCACTGAGCATGAAATTAAATGTGGGAGAATATTATTTATTTTCATCTTGTTTCTCGATTGCAGTGGATAATTGTTAATAACGAGGGACGAATCAAGTACTTTAAAAGGTACAACTTGGTTAAAAGTTCACTTGCAAGTCGTAAAAAATGCGTTTTTTGTGATTTTTTCTAAAATGGAATTTAATGTACTTTAATAATCGGCAATTTATATAAAAAATATTGGATTTCCTTTATCCCGTAGCCGATATTCAGCAAGACCTCCACAAAAAGCTGTCTGGCGGCAAGTTGAACTTCTTTTATTTAAAACTATTAGAAATCCAAAAGCTATTAAATTTATTTGTTACAATCGGTAATAATACAGGTAATCATCGAAGAACTATTTGAAATTTTGAATTTTTACAAAATGGCGGCTTCCCAAAAACAGTTTTTCGTGAAAATATTTACACCTCAGAATGGTTTAAAAATCTAAATTATTATCAAAACGTTTGCTCCTTCGTTCATTAGCTGACCAATATATCTAATAAGTTCGTATTTTCATACAAGTTAATCGGTCAGCCGTTTGGGACAAACTTTCTTTAACGACTCTGTAAACATATGTTTTACTTTTTGAAAAGCAGAGTTGTTGAAGAAAGTACGATAATCATTCACCAGATCTACCTTTGGATTTTCTACCATTATGTGGCTAAATCTGTATAACAGAGTATAATATAAGGAACATATTAAGAGAGTTGCCCATCAAATAAGCTTCTGTTGTAAATTGGCAATTTTTGTATGAACTTGTATTCAACAAATCACCTTTTAAAGAAATTTTTTTTATATAAAACGTTACGTGTTGAGATAAGAGAGAGAGCAACAACTCTTACGGATCGACCCATTTATTTTGGTTAAAGTTTTGGGCATAAAGCGTGCCAATACTCTACTAGACTCATATAAAAATAACTGAATCTTTTGCAAAAACGACGTCGAGTAGAGGTTACAAAAGATATGCTTGACAATTTCCGCATTTTATAAGATGGTATTTTCCAAAAAAATTCTCAAACTGCAAAAAGAAAATAGTAATATTATTAATTATCTCTCATAATTCCATTTAAAATTTTTAATTACAATAACTAGTTATACCCTGAACAGGATATATTAAATTTGTCACGAAGCTTGTAATACCCAGCAGGAAACGTCGGAGACCCTATAAAATATAATACATAAATAACGTCACAGCGTGACGAACTTAGTCGATTTAACCAGTTCCGTCTGTCCATCTATCCGTTAGTCCATCTGTCTGTCTGTATATACGCGAACTAGACCTTCAGTTTTTAAAATGTTGATCTGAAATTAAAAACGATCGAAATCAAGTGCTTGTATAGAAAACTTTTTCATTTGAGGAGATATCTTCAGGAAATTTCGAAAGGGTTAAAAATAATTTTATTATGTTCAACATTCTAAACTAACATCGTTTGCAGACTACTTTCAGACAGAGTACTTTCTCTTCATTTTATTAAAAACGCAAAAGCGTGTTGGTGGGTCGCACGTAAAAACCACGACTACTTAAACTTATTTCAGTCACTTTGCTTTAAAAATAAACAAATTTTAAATTAAAGTAAATAAATAAAAACGAACAGTGACTCAATTCCGTGTGGATTAAGCCACAAGTCTTAAAATAAATATATATACATTTTTTTATTTATAGCTTTCACGCACGTTTTTCGTTATTATCTGTTGTCTGCGCTGCCACAGTTAGTTAACCATTCACTGTTCATATAAATAAATAAACTTTCACTGTAGAACTTCATTTATGTTTGCAACTTGCTCTTGTGTGCCTTCGACAAATGCTCGAGCGCAACACCTTCGGGACTCAATTATACTGTTGTGTTTGCAATATTGGCGCCAGCACTGCTTTTGCCACGCCTCTTCTTCTGGTTTACTTTAAAGCCACACACAGGCGCGCTACAAGTAAAACCAGCGTCACAATTTCTACTTTGCCAACTGTCCGCTGCTTGGGTGGTCACTTTGCTGGCGTCAGTGTACCATGCAACACTGCGCTGAGCTTATATATATATTTTGTATATATGTATGTTGTTTTTTAAGACATTCAGTGTGGCAGCGACACCAGCGTTCGTGAAAGTGCAGAAACAACTCAGCGTCGCACGAGACAGTCGGCAGCGTACGTGACTACAGGAAAATCTAATAAACTTGTGCGACTATAAATTATTTATTCCTTCCTGTGTGCATTTCACACACGTACATATTAGTACATACATACCCCTAAGCACTTCAAGGCTATGTGTCTGCTATCAGCACTTCTGCAGCTGCCGTGTCTTCAACTCCGCCTCCGCTTCTATATACCTCCGACTGTTTGTGGGCGTTTCTGCCTTCTTCCTCTTCTTTTTGCTTCGTGTGGCAATACTGGTGCGCGTCGAGTTGGCCAGATATTTCATGCTAAATCCACAAGTGCTTATATTTAGAACGACACACTCGTATTCATATTTATGGAAAATAAATATTTATTTTAATAACTCCATTCACACAAGTATGAAAACTTAAATCTGTGCGTTTTGAGGCGCACATATAATATATACACGTACACATACACATACAGGCATTTCTAAACCCATTTCTATGCTCTTCTTTGCAGGTGCTCAATTCGAGAATCACTTCGAATGGATTGGTCAGCACCGTTACGTATCTGCCGCAAACGGACTCGGAGCTGATAACGCTCGCCTGCTGGGCCAGCAACTCGGTGGGGCGTCAAACCATCCCCTGCCTGGTACATATATTACCAGCAAGTAAGTGTGAAATTGAATCGGATTGAAGTGAAGTGAAAATGTAATCGGGTGAGAATTCTACAAAAATGTCTACGGCAATCAAAACCAAACTGCTTATTAAGCTCTCAGGGCAATTCGCTTCGTAAATGTTTAAGTGTCGTTTAGCTGGGGCGACACACTGGATTGTGGATTGGGCGGCTGCTTGAAGTCCAAAGTTGACTCCAAGATTGAAAAGAACATTTAAGTTGAAACTAAAACAATTTGTTAGTTGGCTTTTCATGCGTTTATCATGTGAGATTCTTCTTACTTCTCGCCTACTTGCTCGGCTTTCATGTTTTCATTACCGAATTGCAATTTCGGCCACACAACGATATAATAACAATAACAATAAGCTGTTGCATTAGAGTATTTGTTGAATGGCACATTGCTGTTGCGTTGAATGGCAAGTACTCTTGCAACAGCAGTTCAAATATTTGGTAAATTTCAATTCACGTGATGATACACACACATATTGCAAAAAATAAATAAATTAAAGCAATTAATGTCATGAAAGTATTCCAACAATTTCTCAAACCAATAGTAATAGAGACTTCGATAATTTTTGATAAATCTGTAAAAAAAAAATCTTGTAAGGTTCTCCCTAAGAACTACCATTTAATCCTAAGTCTACTCTCTAATGTGCTCTAATCTCAAACTCGGCGAATTGACTTGGGTTGTTACCTGCGAGAAATTTGTGTTAGGCTTAAAGCTCTTCATCGATACACGACGATCTCAAAAATCTTGATCCATATATTGTAGTATTGGTATCATAAACCATTGGTTTTTTTACTATTCTTGTGCTCAAATCTCCGAAACCTGATCTAACCTTTGCTTATAATTCTTTCGCTAACAAATATCACATCGAATTTGTGTTTGATCTTTGCCGGTCTTATATTACAATAGCTTCAATGATCGTTCTCAGGGAGCTTGAATTATTATTATTTTGATCTATTTTTTTTTAAATTTGTTCAAAGTCCACCATCCATAGATTTGTAATAGCTCCGAAGCTGTAGTGTTGTTAACTTCCATTATCCCATAGTTTAGTCTGTAATAAATAGTTTTAGAAAATGAATCTATTATACTCGTAAAAATTCCGAGAAAGTAAATGGAACTTTTTAAAATATCAACTTTATTGCCGCGGTATATTACTTTTTTTACTGAGGAGTTCAACACTGGGTCTTAGGTAACTGACAGGTTGATAGCAAATTCCTTTTGGCTACGAGTGAATCTCATCCTACCAACTGTTGACAGCAGTATTCGTGATGTACTTCGCTGAACATGGGTTATACCTCTACTTCGAAGTAGCATCAAAGAAAATAAATATGGTAGGGTACATATAATATATACATTTCAAGACAGGATACCACTTAAATTGTATCGTCTATTTTAAGATGATTTGTTTAGTAAAAACTTTCGTTTCTTTATGTTATGACGTATGAGAAGTTTTTTAATAAAATCCCTGCTGTTGTGCTAACCCATAATTCGGTTAGCTTGGGTTAAAAAGTAGATCCAAAAACGGATGCTATTTGAATATACTTCCAAGTATTGATCGAAAAGTCTATCAAAAAACGAAAAAGGGCTTTGAGCTTGCCACAAATTTGTTGGAATAGCTGATATAAATTCCGGTTTTATGGCCAGGTTCAGCGAAGATATCTGGATGGATGTTTCTACCTTACCTTTCTCCACACAATTTTAACAGATAGAATTCTCGGTTCTACCGCATGTGCACCTATTAGGTAATGTTCACTGAGAGCCCCGAGATGAACCTTACCGAGAGCAAGTAGCTTAGTGGAACTCTTGAGTTCTGCATAACGAAAGATTTCGCAGTCGCACAGGAGTAGTTGTTGACGAGTGCCTGCTTAGCTCACACGAAATCCAGTTCATGCCACGCCGATGTAAGGGGGACTAGGATGCTCCCTCTTGAGAACTCATCGGTTTTGCAGTTTGCAGCAATTCCACTATGGTCAGGCACAAAAAAAGAGAAGTAACTTTGATGCGAAGGAGGACAGACACTCTTTGACTAATTTGAAGCGCTATTGCCGCTCTGCTGCCGATTTGAATTGTGGTACTATCATGAAGAAGATAGTATAGATAGTGTAGTAGGTATTTTATAAGGATAAATCGTTTTGTTACAAAACTGCTTTATGTTACTTAAAATAAAATTCAAAATCACGAAAATGTGCACACAGTCTTCTGAGATCGTTTTATTTATTTATCTTTATATACAGTCGCCTATATTTGGTTGAACATTTTTACATTGATCTCTCTTCTTTATTCGGATAGTCAAACAAATTTTCCTACAGGGCTCTCTTTTTCTCACTAACGTCCCGTTAATATAGTTACTTGTGCACTCAATATATACGGAACCACAAATTCAATAAGTTTGGCATTGTTGTTGTTTATCATAACATACACCCAAAATATATGTATATTTATTGATGACTTAGATATGCTATCGAAGTGTTTGTAATTAATTATTTCTCCCGCACCCATGCTTTTCTTACAGATCCACCGGAGGCGCCAAAGGCTTGCGAACTGCGCAACGACACCGTCTTGGAAGTAGTCTGTGTGGCTGGCAATGACGGTGGTCTCACGCAATATTTCCTGCTTGAAGTAATTGGCGGCGATCCACTTTATGCTAACGATGCGGGGCGTAGCTTTGCCGATGCAAATGTGGGCGACAACGAGCTCTCCACCATGAATGATCAGGTATCTTACATATGTGCACATGCTTCAATATGTTTGGCTATTTGTATTTACTTGTGTATGAGTGTTGATGCACATACTTGTATGATTGAGTGCAAATGAAGGCAAATATTGGAAATTATTATCAAACTCAATGGCTTTGTAGACAAGCTACACAGTGATATAGAGAGTTGTATTCACTTTGCGCAGTTTCTTGATTGGGTGCAATATGTGCGTGGATAGCTATTGAATGGAATGTGCTCATAGAAACTTGGATTTGAATAGTCAATGGATGAAGAGGAGAGTTAAATTGGTTTTAATATGGATAGGCTGTTTGTTGTCTTTAAATTTGATGGTTGCTTCGTTGCCTTTATTTAAGGCCAGGTCAGGTATGACATACAAATTTTGTATACTCTATAATAATATACATTATTGGATCCAATTTTAAGGAGGCTTTGCAGATATACACCTAGAGTTTATCAAAATTTATCAGTGTACCATGAGCAACGAAACTAGGAGAGTTATACGGCTGAATGTGTAATAAAAGTTATATTATGTCTACTCACATCAAACAATTTGGTTCTATATTGGGATTACTTATATACATATATATATATTTTCTTTATAAATATATTTACTGCAAATGATTAAGGTATTGACTCGACTCACCATCTATCGAAAACTTTAACAAAAGTCGTTCGAGATCAGCAAAAAATTTTGAAAATATGATCATCTGTAGACTTTGATCATCGAGTTCTGCCGCTAATAATCCAATCAAAAAAGCCACGAAGTTTGTAGTACGCAATGAAACGGGACATAGGATACCGTACAAAGCAGCTGAGTCGACTTTGCCATGTTTGCCGGTGTGTCTGTCTATATATGAACTAGTCCCTCAGATTTTGAGATGTCACACTGAAATTCTGTTCTTTCCAAGAAGATGCGCATTTGTCGCAATCGCCGATATCGGACCACTATAGCATACACCTGTCATAAGAACTGAACAATCTAAACAAAACAGTCCTTGCATGCAATTTTTTTTTGTTTGTGGAGATATCTTAACGAAATTCGACACGACTAATTGTTTAAGGCAACGGTACAATCTTCAAACAAATCGTTTACATCGCACCAGCATAGCATTAAGCTGACATTTAAACTGACCGATCAAAGTTAATTTCTTGTATAATTATTCGTGAAGGCTATTATCACTTTGATGCAATCGAAATTTTCTTGTTAAAGTATTATACTTATTTTAAATTTTTACTTTTAACAAATCTTAAATCACTTATTAACACATTTATCAAAATTATTAAAATAAAATCATAACATTCCAATTGCATGCCTAAAAATTATCTTTTTTACAACCAATAATATTTAAACATGAAAACAAAAATTAGTTAAATTATTTTCGCTGCTCTCGGTTGAGCAATTAATTCAGCGTAAGAAACCGGACTAACCATGGAGAAAACTTCGAATATAAGATATTTAGAGCATATTGTCTTAAAACATTTGGAAAGTCTTAGCTCAATTACAATAATAAAAAAGGCCAAATTTGTAGACAAAACTTTTCAAAGTTTTCAGCTGCTCCTTGTCACATAAGCTCAACACTAACAAGGAGCCAAAATTAAGATTACATAATCATTAAGAAATATGCGAGTATCTGGACTTTCCTTGAATTTTCCAACAAGCTACGTACTTCATATCCTCAGCCATTTAACCAAAAAAAAAAAAAAAATGCTTACACTGCACATAGAGATTTTAGGTTGCTCATACGCCACACCCGCCCAACTTGTTCCTTTCAACTTTCTACTGGAACTCTAAACTTTGTAAAAGAAAAAAATAATAATATCAAGAGCATTTCATTATGCAATTTAATTCAATTGTTTACTTTCACGTATATAATATATATTCCTGATGTTTGTGTGTATGTACATTAGTACTAATTGCGCAAATGAATGAGTTTGCCAACAATTATGACTATACGCCTGCCAATTCAAATTAAAAGGAAACTTTGTAACTCATACGGTCAATTATTGCTCAAACGGACCCGCTTGACTTTATCCAGCAGGCACGCGTGCCACATGCAACAGACACACATATACACATATGTATATGTATAGACAATGGTATGTACAGGCAACTGGAGCGCTTGCAGTTGAATGTTTTGGGCATTAGTCAGGGTCAGGGTCGGGTAAATGCGATTTACGAAATGCTCATTGGCCACCATTCAACTCAAAGACATATATATATTTTATGGTTTAACTGTGCATATATGTGCTTAGGCTGTGTGTGTGTCTATCTATTTAGTGGCAAGCAACCCATAATGCTTGAAGTGCCACATTCCAACGCCTGACCCTAGCTGAAAAGAAAAACAACAACAATTACAATGAAAAAAACAACAAGAACAACAACGTCTAAACTCACAGGCAATTGCAACAGCAATAACGTTATCGTGCTGCTTAACATTACCTAACTATTATTAGTTTCATAGTTTTGCTTCCACTCGAACAGCGAAGAAACAATAAAGCTTTTTAATAAGCCAAACAAAAGCTTTGAATGAAGAACGGATGGGCAATTGGTTCGACGTACAGCATAACCAAGTGCCGAGTATTTCATGCTGCGCAAGTAAAGAATAAGCGCACACAAGCTCAAGCCGCACATACAACCCTGCGTGTTCTACCACACAGGGCTCTATATGCTTGTGTATGTGTCTATATATGTATGTGTATGCATTTGTATGATTGCCAGTTACAAAAGGGACACACAATAAATTACTTCCACTTACTTGAGTGGGAATTTGTGCGTAACCATTTAAAGAGACCGTGCTGCTGCTGCAACCGCGTCCTCCGAGCAACGCACTCCGCACTCCGCACTCGAACAATCAACAAATCTATCTGCAAAAGCGGCAAACACAAATTGCAACACAACAAGTGCGCAGAAGAAAAGGCAGACAATGAAGCAGAAGAAGCACAAGAAGCACAAGAAGCGCGCGCTGATAAGTGCGGGAAGAAGAGGCATCAGCTGAAGATGTAAACAGCGCAGCGTAGATAAAGCAAAGAAAAGCAACTGTAATACTCGTAAAAAGAAGCAGCTCAGTCAATGGCTGGCTAGACAAGAATCAACAATAAAGACCATGGCTAAGAACTTCCAAAGAGGTTTCGAACTTTTATTAAGGAAACATGCTGATTACATAAATGCGTATATATTGTACAACATATATAAATATATATTATGTTATCCCTATAGAGAAATATTAGTTATTTCTACGCTCGAATTATTCTGCGTTGAGCTCCACTTTGATAAGGTTAAACACGGTCGGAAGCTTTTGAAACTTTTGACTCATGAATACCTGAGAATATGTATTGCTTGAATAGCTAGAATACTTAAGTGGTACACTAAGGGAAGTCGGGGAACCCGAAGCTTTAATCGAACAAGACATTATTGTGATGATATTGTACAAAATTGAACGAGTCCCAAAAACATGTATGGAATTTTAGGATAATAGACGACTTGAACCTATATATTATATTGTACTATACAACTATACATTCCATTTCTAGGTAATCTGGAGGGCACGAAAACATATCTTCCCAGAGAAATTTGATGCTGAATCAACAAGAAACGTGACTATAGCAAATATATTGCGAAACATTGAATCGAACCATATACTCACTGATATACAAATATTATTGCTAGATTATGAACCTAGTAACACTAATTCTGATCAGCTAATGTGAGTTATGGAAACATACCTAAAAATAGTTGGTACCACAAGTCCGACTCATATGTTAGTAAAAGCAGAAGAGCTTTAAAGCAAAAATTGCGATTTCGTGCCATATAGACGAGGTAAAAGACTCATATTTACATAGAATCAGTTCTGCGCAATACGAAAATACTTAAGTCTTATGATAGTGAATGATAGTAATTTTTCGAACAAAAATCCGGATATCTTTCGGTAGATACGACACTTCTTGAGGTATCGTCTAGCCGTGTTTTGACACCTCAAGCTAAATTGTCAAATTATTTAGCGAATCGAACAAACAACTGGTATAATTCACTATAACTGGGCTAAAAATAATAATTGGTATTGTTAGTGGTTATACCATTTTCGTGAGGTAATTTTAATCTCCCTGGTACTTTTTTTGAAAGAGAGCAGATGTCAATAAATAAGATCAGAGAAGTGGCGACACATACACGGCTACTTATAGAGGTTCATTAAGAAAAATCCAACTGTATTTCAGCAATCTTTTAGCCGATGTAATTTACTCCAAATATTCAATTGGTTTATGATTTATCTGCTGGGTAAATATATATACTTACGTATATGAGAAATATATTTATGTATTGTGTATGTCACTGTTGTATACGTATATGTATATGTATATATGCAAAAGTTTATATACACACAATAATATTTAGTAGCACAAGTGGTCACTCAGGCGTTTGTGGACAAACAGCAACAAAAATAGCAAAACACAAATAACAACAATATAAATCTTGAGCCGTAGACAAAAGAGAATAAACAATTTTCGATAATCTAACAAAGAAGAACCAACGAAATAGCAAAAGAAAAATTCAAAGTTGGAAAAAAATTGCAAAGATCTGTGCTGAACATAAAGTTTATAATAGAGTTTGCAAGGATGATTAATTGTTTGAGAAACTTTTGCAACTTGTTCGATTATTGCTACTTGCCGTGGCAACAATGTGCGTTCCTTTACTTACGTTCTTCTAGTTTCCTCCTTTTCGAACATGTCATTTGCTTTGCTTTTCTTTGCAGCTTAGAAACGAGACTCGATATGACAGCATAGAAGGGAGCAAGCAAAATATAAGAATTCTTCATTCAAGTTTCCTATCGCAAAGATTATATGCTCTGCATCGAGTTGACTTATCTAGGTGCCGGACAGTTCTCGTGAAAATATTTAATATGCAGCCGACGAATATGCAAATCTCACTTAAGTCCGCATAACGTAGAAGCCTAATTACCTGGCGTTTGTCTTACGGCTCCGCAGACACACAATCAGTCAACTGCCATTGGCTAGTCGAGCGCTTATAGGCGTAATCCTATTGAAATATGACTTGAAGACGCACTTTTAACTGATGAAGACTAGTAAGCAGCATGACATTTAAATGTATATGGGGCTGACTTGGTTTGAAAACACGAAAAATAGTCGAAAGTTTTCATTGTGTTTTAGAAGGATAAGAAAATTGGTAAAGTAAAGGAATTCTCATCTGATAAGGGGGGCAATGCAAATATGCTGCTTTAACTATACTATATATTGATATGGGTATAAAAAGATCAGCTAAGAGGAATAACTCAGGAATAAATATACCTATATACAGCGTTGCCTGATAGCACTTACATAATACTTTTCTTTAGACACATTTTTCTTCCTGTGCATACAACTCACGGCTTCCCCTTGGTCAGCATTATATAATATAAAATACTTCTTGAAGATTTTCAAAGCTCAAGTTTGTTAACATCACGTGTGAAATATCGCACTTATTCATTTTCAGAAACATTTCTGAAAAATAGTATAAACTATATGTCAAATCTTTTACCTAAGCAATGACCCAAAGAGCTAATTTTATGAACTCACTCAATATAAAAAATAAAGCAGTCCGACCATAACCTCCAATTTGATTTATATTTTTGAACAACAATTTCTAGAAGATTTAAACAAGTTTTTTACCTTCTTTAACACTACTTTTAACCAAAAATAAAAAAAATATTTTAAGTCAAAATTATTTTAGAGCAAATGATTTTATCCAAATTTAAACTTCACGCCGCAAAGTTTTGAAAATCCTACTAATGTTCGAAAATCTCCAAAACTAAAGTTTTTTTTTAATCTTATATTTATTTATTGCCTAGTTTTAGGCACACAATTAAGTACAAATATAGCAAAGTCGCACACCACTGGCGCTGACGAGAAATATTTTGTTTATGTTAAAAATCCTAATTAATTCATAATAAGTAGTGGAAATTCGTGAAGTTTTAAAAATAATTTTTGGGAAGAAAAATTTAATTTTTGTACGACTAAAGTTAAGCCTATTATGCAACACTAAGCGGTAAAAAAGCCTCAAGTCGCTATACCGCAAACTGCTTTGCACCATCAGCCATCATATTTGATTGCGAACTTCGCCTGAATCAAAAACGATTAAGGAGATTTATAGCGATTTTTCGCACATTTCAATCGAATTTGCCAAAAACCTTTTCTTAAGCGATTGCAAATGGAAAGTTTTAAATAGTTTCGCATAGCATATAATGTGGAGTGGCTTAGTAAGAAAACGCGGCAAGAGTTTTTGAAGACTGTCAAGCACAAAGCGCTACCATATTTGCTTAACGGCTATTCAATTGGAAACGACTCGACTTCCAAGCCATAAATTTACTGCAAACATTTTTTACTTTCAAGCAAAATGTATGAAAGGAGAAATAACGAACTCGAAGCGCGCTTCGAATGCTGCAAGCCGAGAGCACTGTTATTTGGACGCTATAAAAGGAAAGTTTTCGAATAATTTCGCCTTGGCCCCACAAATTGCTTGCTGCCAACAATGATGAGCCGGTCAATGGCAGGCTCTGCAACACTTCATCTTTCATTTTCTTATCTGTGCCCACTTTCTATGCCATTATTTGTATGAGTGTGTGTGTGTGTGTTTGTGGGCGCGTTCGTGCTATTTGCAGAATTTTGTTTTTGAATTCCCATATTTTGCATACTTTCAGGCGACGTCAGCACCGGTACTTCGCATGCAAGAGCCGCAACCGCAATTTCGTCTCAACAGCTTGGAGCCGGGCAGAGAATATCAATTTCTCGTATATGCCGTTAATGCGAAGGGACGCAGCGAACCGCCGGTCGTAATCGAGCGTGTACGAGTGGCGGCACAATTGGGACCATACGGTAAGTCACGTTAAATTTTTCCATTTTTTGAAATTTTTTCCAGAAATTTTACAAACACTGTCAGCTATTTGTTGGTGGCTGTGAAGTGAATGTCGCCAAAATGCTTGCATTCAGCGGTAGCTTTCCGCTTACGCCTGTCGCCTTTCGCATTTCGCCTTTTTCCATTATAATTCGGCAACTTCTTGAATTCGCACGTCTTCCACTCAAATGATTTCACACACTTTGCGACACAAGCAAATACTTGAGCTCACATTTGTGTGAGAGCGCTTGCATCTATGGCTTTGTGTCCCTTTCTGTATATGTGTGTTTGCGTGTGTGCCAAATAAGCTGCCTGAGTCTCGAAAATTCCTTTTCATTTGCTGATTCTTCGCCTGGTTGCGTCAACAGTTCAACACAAACACAATTTCACATCATCAATTCGATTTCTTCGAGTATAACGGTAACTCTTATGGCAATAGCTGCAAGCAATGTGAAAAGTTCTACATTAGCTGGCTGCAAGTAGATTGCTTTGCCACACTGTGTGATATTAGAAATCCAGAAAACCTGATATCACAGCTCGAAATTGTTGAGTCGTCGCCTTTTACTTGCAACATTGCTAATTTTTCATTGTGACACAATTTTGAGCTCTTCCTCTTTAGACTTCTAACAACTTTTTGTATATGGAAAGCGCACCTGAATTCGTATTCTTTCCTGAAAACACTTAGATAATTCCATTAATTGTCAATATCTTGAATAGTGTGGAAAGAGAATTAACTTAGACTGTTTAGTTGACAACAGTTTGTACGGCTTTTTTTTAGAAAATGATTCCTTCGAATTTCTGGTTGTGCCTTTGCTATTCTACAAATAGAGAAATTTGCACTTCTTTGAATTAAAGTTTTATCGTAACTGTAGTTAGCTAAAGCGTTCAAAAATGTATGTTATTTCTATTAGAAGTAACTTATTTGAAGATAAAAATCTTATTCATGCAAAAATTTTAATAATCTACTTTAGAAGGACTCTCACACTGATCACATATCAATATACGAAAATCAAACAAAATAGTAAAGAGGAAAAATAATGAATGAATATTTATCAGAGAGTAAGTTGTTTTCCTTTTACTAATGGATTCCTGTCGAAGATCTACAATAGTTAGCTCCAAGCAGCTGGAACTCTATTAAGCATAGCCGCAAAGTTGCTGCACCCTACTAAATTACTTAAGGGTAAACTATAAAAGGTTTCAGATAAACAAAGAGCACTTCTCCGCATCAAGGAATATGAAACTTCTTTGACTATCTGTCACAGTTATTTTATATGCAACGGTTGGAGGCAAGTAATCAAATGAAGCTTGGAATTTTCTATATCGAATTCATAAAAAAAATGTATTAAATGCTTTAGAAATAACATTAGGGTAAACCCTATAAACGTTTATTTCTGCCTTAAGATATTTTATTTTTTTCTTGCGTTCTTTCTGTACGAGATTAATGGACTGCTTACCTTTGTCTTTATTTTTTGACTCTCTCACGACTCTTTCTTTTTAGCCTTTAAAGTGCGCCTCATTTATTACATAATACTTTAAGCTCAGCTTAGACAACCACATTTTACCATACAAGTACAATTATTTTTTACGGTTACATTCTGTGTATATGTGTGTGTTTGTAGAAGTTCAACTTTCACGTACACAAATTGGCATGCGTGCGTGAACATTGAAGCGTTAAGAATTTGTTTTCTCCTTCAATGACGAAAGTGAAAGTACAGCAACAAAATATGAAGTATTAGTATTAAAAAAGCAGTACAGTAAGAAAAAAATGGAAGCAAAACGAGAAAATAGTCATCAAAAGAAACTCAGGATGCGACAAACCGGTATTAGTGTTGATGGAAAGGAAACCTGTGAGGAAGCAGCCAATTGATAGCTACATATAAATATATATAGAATATATATATGTATCTATATTTGTAAAAGCAGTTATTCCAAGAGCACATAAATAAATATATATCTATATATAGCATAAGTCGAAAAGCTTAAAAGAAAAGAAAATGGATTCGCTCTTAAAGTATATACATATATTTATATGAAGGTACTTACATATGTGTATATGTATGAAACTATATAAGTACTGAGTGATTTCTTGCTAAAGCTTAGAGTTATTGTTTTAATGGCTTTGTCAGTGCAAGTAAAATAATGTATTTATTTTTACATATATACCATACTATATTATACTTATGTATATAATGCAAATTAGAGCCGCGTCAGCACAGATTAAAAATCTTAAAAATATATCAACAAAAAGGATTAAAAACAACAAAAAAACTTAACTTCGGCTGCAAAGAAGCTATAACACTTTTCACAGATGCATTTCTTATAGCATAGGTACATTATATAGCAGCTATATGCTCTAGTGCTCCGTTTTAAACAATTCTAAAATATTCGTATTTTGCAGCGTTGCGCTGAACTGTAATCTAGGAGAGGAAAGAGTGCGTACAAAATTTCAGTCAAAACTCAGTCTTATTAATGATGTAAATACTTTATGGAGTCTCCGGCGTTTCCTTTTGGATGCTACAAACTTGCGGGCAAACTGAAAATACCCGGGTATAGTTTGAGCGCCGACAACTAATTTGGAAAATCTGCAAAACAAATCAATTAAAAAATAATATTAAAAATTGTTATAGCTGTAAGATAATTTTGAGAAGCAAAACTATCGCTATAAATAAATTTTCTTATGTAATATATACACAGAAACCTACATATAAATATATATTTTTCCAGCTCAAATTACAGTAAGCTGATTCCCTGACACCATTACTCTTCTTGCTTGAAAGCAGAAAGATGCCACTTAAAAGCACTTAACCTCTCACCTCGTGATGCTCCCAACAAATAGCTTCTCTGCTCTTATTTCCTTACATGAAAATATATTATTACATAAACAAAAACAGAAATGATTTCATTTTCTGCCACAGTTTTTTTGCCATAACTTTTTTATTTCTATTTTGATTGCTGCTTTATGGAGATTTTATGAGTTGTGTCGCCAGCAGCTTTTTTTGCCACTTACAAATATTGTGCTGTAAATGAATGCGAAACACTTGTAAACAGACACACGTACAAGCGCAGCGAATTTGTTTTTTTTTTTGTTTTTCTCCGGCAGAATATTATAAATAAACTATATATGTGTAGCTGTGTGTATATATGCATTTATGTACGACTACCAAGTCTCAGATAGCAACTAATAATTTATTTCACTTTCATTGATGATTGCTAACACTTATGTATGCGCATATGTATGTATGCATGTTGGTGCACATTTGTATAGGTATATGTTTATGTGTGCGTGCGCAATAAGCTTATTCATGGCTCGTCCATCAGCATTTACTACGCATTTGTACACATTTCATCTCCGCTGATGGAGATATTAATCAATTTGTCCGTGTTTCGCTAATTTTTGCCATCAGATTATGTGCATATGAATAACAGTAAAGTGAAATAATAACGCAAATAACAGTGTTTATTGTCGGCATTTTGGCTAAAACACAAACGCAAAGGTATACAAATTTTTTGTTTTGTTCATCTAATTGCTAAATTGCTATTTCTGTTGTATTCTTTCAAGTTTGATTAGACATACATACGAATTTATTTTGTAAATGTACAGTGACTGAGCAAAGTACGTATAGGCAAGATCTTTTTGCAGGGAAGGGAACATTCAGCTTGACTCTTTTCTAAAGATAAGTTGTCTAACGCGATAAATAAAAACAAAAAGCTTTTCGGAACCAAAAAAAAGCTTAAGCATTGAGCTTGTGTTTCATGTTTGTTTTTTAATATTTTAAAATCAATGTTTTTTCTCAACGTTAAACATAAAATATTTTCTGGGATTGTTGCGTCATTTTTTGTATGTGATATGAGCGAAAGTAACAGTTCTTTCAATTTTTAGTAGAGTTATGTATATATAAATGATCAGGATGAAGAGACCAGTTGAAATCTGTGCAAGTTGTAACTTGAGTAAAAATTAAAATATCTTGATGAAACTTGAAATCAAAATCACAACGAATCTAAGTAAGATGTCACCTATTGTTTGAAAATCTTGAAAAAGAGGACATGGCCTCGCCCTCTACTAAGTTTAATGTATATATCTGCCAAACCTATAAAGCTATATCATCCAAATTTTCACAAAACAAATATTTTCAACACTACTTACGATACGGTAAAAATAGGTGAACTAGGTCCACTCTCCATATACCGGTTTTGCTAAAAACTACTAAAAGTGTGATAAATTAATAACTAAATTCGTCAGAGATATTAAATTTTACATCACAATCCGCTTCAGAAACGGGTCGATTTTGTTGCGATTCAGCAGCGATTCGCAGATGGAAATTCGGTCCATCATGTTTTTTTGCGTTAGTTCGTGTGGCACCCAAACATCGAGCTCGATCGAATCCAAGGTTTATGCAAATGGTTCCAAACGGTTTTCTGGCTCATCTTTAGTTCCTCAGCAATTAATAAGTGCTCAGTGACGGGCTTTTCCACTATTTTCATGATTTTAACGCAATTTTGACGACAGGCCTCCCGACGCGTGGTGCATCTTGACATCGAAATTACCGGAACGGAACCTAGCAAACCACTTTTGTGCTACGTTCGTTTACAGTATCGGCCCATAAACTAAATTAATGTTTTCAGCCGCTTTGGCTGCTTTCGCTTGATCGAGAAAAATTGTAAATATAGCGAATTTTCTCTTTGTTGGTGTCCATCTTTGACGAGCGCTCACAACGAACTGAGTAAATCAATCGAAAAACTGTGAAAACAAACTTTAGCGCGAATAAACACCGTTTTCAGCGCGTATGTATGACATGATGCGAACACGTAACACTAGTACTATGGACAATAACGCCGTCTCTAGATAAAAACCGAACGAACTTTTTACTTTACCTAATATAATCAGTCAATATGCAAGATATCTAGCAAAATTAACTGACTAATAATGGATATATCTTTAGTTCAACGTATAGTATTGGGTATACTATAGTTAAATACCGCA